CTAGCTCGCCGCGCCCCATCATTACCCAGCGCCCGTGCCGTGCCACCATCACTCCCCGCGCCCCTTGACTCTCCGAACAACATGAAACACTTGAAAACGGATGACACATAGAACATACACTTGTAACATATGTATGAAACATATGCAATTTCAGATGAAAACACTTGCAACGTAAAAACACTTACTGCAATATAAGACTGAAATAACTAAAATATTTGAAACAAAATTTTGTAACATATGTGTGAAACATATGCAACATCCAGACCGGAATGCTTGCAACATACGTCTAGAATAGATGAAACATTTTGAACAACAACTCTGAAACACTTGCAACATGTGCAACATCCCCTATCTACTTTTGCAACATCCATATGAAACAACTGCAACATACCTCTGAGACATCTGAAACACTTGAAATATACGCTTTCATCGCAACATCTCCTTGCTGAGGTCGTGCGTCACGGCGGCCCCGACGTCGACAGCGGCTACGATCTTCTAGTGGGGAACGGCGGCGGTTGTGGCACCCCAGTAGCACCCCGACGCGCGTGGGGGACGAGACACAACGCTTAGTAGAGGGGGCTGCTCGCAGCGACCTAGAGCGGGCACGGTGGGGCGACGGAGGGGGCACGACGTGGGATGGGAGCGTAACGCTAGATGGGGGAGTCGCGCGGCGCGAGATGGGGTGCACGGCGGGGAAGACGGCAGCATCCGAGCAACGAGCGCACGTGCAGCCGCACGTGATGGGCGAGCACGGGAGTGAGAGATATTTTGAGAGAGACGTGGAGACAAAGCAGGCCTGTCGCACCGCGCAGCGCGCAGGTTCAGAAAGTGGCGTTTGGACGGACGTAGAGTGCTCCTATGCATTATCGAATGAGAATCGACGAGAGAAGACGGAAAATGAAAAGAGCTCGCTCTATCGGAGGCATACGCCTCGATTTGGGTTTGGCGGGTCGGTTTGTGGTGACCAGCTCCCTCACATGGATACTATTTATATGAGCCAATTGCGATTTTACTCTCTCACGTAAACGAACCGCCACGGATCTGAACAAGCCCGAACAAGCAAAGTACATGCATCTGCCATTGCTGCCGCAGCCGCACCGACTCCACGCCTGTTCTAGCTTCATCGACGGCGCTTGTTTGACTTGTTGGTTTCAAACAAATAAATCACCAACCAAACGGTATTTTTCTCTCACAAAAGATCAACACCAGCCAGTCAAACCAGTAACGGCCCCCAACGAGAGAAAGAAAACCGATCCGGGTGGCGAGGGGACGCCGCCCGCCGCCCCCTCGTGAAACGGCAGGTTGACGCGCGGCGCGCGTCAGCGTCCGGGCTTGGGTTTCTATTTTCTAGACGCATCCATGATCCATCTATCCTGGCAGGATGCGCGCGGCGAGCAGCGCCGCAGCAGCGGGTGAGGCGCCGAAAAAATATCGCCCGGACAGCGACGCGACGTGGACGCGGATCCGTGGACGATCCCGCGGCCCGGGTTTCACATGCCCTGCCCTGGCTGGCAGTGGCAGGCCGCGCCGACCCTTCCCGCCCGCGCCGGCCACGTTCCCGCGCCTGGCGCGAAGCCGGGACAGGTAGTCCACGCGTGGTCCACACGAAACACTGGCGCAAAAATTTTGGCTGGCCCCGTCGTCGCACTTGATTTTCCTGGGGCACCGCGCGCGCCGTGCTGCGATCGTATCGCGGGCGGTCGCTGTCGTCGGATCCCCGCACGATTCGGCCGGGTCCGCTACGGATCCCATTCTTATCATCTTTCTTTCCGTGCACCCTCTCCCTTATCGGCGGCGCGTCGTCGGGGTTAGGGTGTATACGAGGACCGCCGCTACCGCGGCGTGCGTGCCTTTTGGGTGATGGCTTCGCGCGCGTCTTCAAGAGTCGTTTTCTGTGGGTGGATAGGATAAAACGGGGGTGGTAGCGTTCCACGTTCTACGCACGAGCGACAACAAGGCACTGAGCGATTGGTTCCGTTGTCGACGCGTTTCAGCGTTTCAAGTTTGAACGCACACGACAACAAGGCACTGAGCGACAGAGCGAGTGAGAAAAGAGAGAGAGAGAGAGAGAGAGAGAGAGAGAGAGAGAGAGGATTCACTTGGCTGTCCTGGGGTCGCAGTCTCGGCGCACAACAGATAGAACCAACCGGAAGAGTCGCCATACTACTCGTCGAGCGTGTTTGAATGGTTCGGAAAGAAGAAGGAAAATAAATAGAAGACCTAAAAACCTTCCAACAGGCCAAGTCATGGATGTTGCGTTCGACTGAGGCAGGTGGACCGTCACCATACCCGGAACGACTATTGAAGAATTCTGAGCTTGTCCACAACTAGTCACTAGAAGCTTGAACGAGTCCAGGGCTTGGATAAGGATTAAGAGCACAACGATCGGAAGCACGGATTCTTAGCAGCCACCCTCTTGACCAGAAAAAGGCACCGGTAATATATTTTGTTAAGACGAAAGCACATAACTTAGTGTTGGAGCACCGAGATTTGTTTATAGACGAGAAAAGGAAGGGACTGAATTAGGGCGCGTGTCATTGCCTGTTCGCTTGCTCGTAAACGATCGTAAATTTCCAGCTGAAAATAATATTTTTCTCTCACATCAAACCAGCCAGCAGTAAATAATCCATGATACGGGCTCCCGAACGGGACTCGAAACCACGTCGGGAGACACCGTTGGCAGCCTCGCAGCAAGCGGCCGGCCAGCACACATGCGGACACGAGGTGCTGTCGCCGCCGGTTTTGTTGGTCCGCCCGACCTGTGGCCGTGTCCCCGGAAACGCTGCTCCTGCCATGTGTCCACTCAAATCTTGTTCACACTCGTACTACTACTTATTAAAAATTATTATACTTAATTATCTGCTGTTTGCTTTGGTGGCAATTGGCAGAATACGTGTGAGGAGGTGTTTGTGTTTGTTCACTGAACATGCGCCTGGCTCGCAGCTGGATCGCGCGACAGGTGTCCAGTTCTGCGTCGCTCGTCATCAGGCTAGGTCCAAGTGCCGTTCTAACGCTGGTCGACAATTCAGGTCTTAAACAACGCTAACACAAAAGTGCAGGCGGTGGAGACACAAAAACAATGCCTTGATACTCTAGCGGTGGTATTCAATGCAACATTATCTATAATAGTAGAGGGGGAAAAGCAACATTATCATGTGCACTTTCATTCATGGAAAATAAGTAACGTTGCCAACACTAGTGAGTGCATAATTTGTAGGTGAGGTAATCTACAACTTAAATTTTGAGCCAGGCATACATACTCATGTTACTTTTCACTTTTTACTCCCTTGCAGTGGAAGTCAAGGAAGGAATGAACTACATATAGGCTTGTTTAGATACCCTCAAAATTCCAAGTTTTTTCACTCTCTCTCCATCACATCAATTTTAACCATTTGCATGGAGCATTAAATGTAGGTAAAAAAATAACTAATTGCACAGTTTAGTTGGAAATCACGAGATAAATCTTTTGAGCTTAGTTGGTCCACGATTGGACAATATTTATCAAATAAGACGAAAATGCTACTATTCATCGAGTTGAATTTTTTTTCAATCTAAACAAGGCCATAGTGCAAAAAAGGATGCGATGCGGAAAACCATACACGTGTTCAGTCACCTACTTTAGGCTCCGTTCGCTTCGTTGAAAAAACAAGCCGAAACACTGTTTCGACTGATTTGTTGTGAGAGGGAAACACTGTTCCGGATAAAAAAACAAGCTGAAAAAAACGGATTATAAGAGAAGCGAACAGGGTTTGATAGGGCCCATGGATTCCACTTTGGTTCTCGTTTTGCCTGAGGCGGTATTGCGAAGGGAAATAAAAAAGACCTAGAACCACGAGTAAACGTCCTGTTCGTTATGGCTTGTTTGACTGATAAGCCATGGATGAAAGTTCTGTTGGCTGATTTGGTGTGAGAGAAAAATACTATTCATTGACTAAAAAAGTCAACTTATAAAAAGGCAAACAAGTCTAAACGAACCGGACGAAAAATGAAGCTAAAGGCTCGATCTGCTGCGGCATAAGTAAATTTGCAGCCAACCTCTCTAACCTCCTGGGTTCGGCGGCACTGCAGGCAGGCAGGGCTTCTGTTCCAAAACAGGAAACAGCAAAAGAGTATTCTGGCGATAATCAGGGGAAGACTGTTCGATCAACCGGGTAACTAATCCCAAATTCCCCCATCCCAGGATGTTTGTGGGGTACAAGTAAAACCATCACAATTCAAGATTTCCTCGAACGTACGCCACGATAAGCAAAAGTGGTTTGGTTTCGTGAAAAATCTGCATACTCCGACACCACATAAGCCTGCGTGCGACCAAGACAACAGAAAAAAGGATGATGATAACCCAACAACAGCGCGCCGCGTGTCCCTCGGCTCCCACATAAACAAGCAACACGATCTCCACCCCAACATCCATGGCCCACACGTCGGTCTCACGCCCATCCTGCCAAAGAGATATGCGAACAATCCTGGTCACATTCAGCAAACTGAAGAAAGAGATAAGATCAGATCATGCGGGGCACCAGCTGCAGAATCTGGGCAAAGGCATGTGCGAGTGGCCAACAGACACTTTCACACTCTTTTATATTCTGCAAGTATAATAAGAAAAAAAAAACGGGACAGATGCACAGACCATGACGATGGGGATGGGGTCCATGTCAGTGTCCTAGAAAAAACCGAACAATTAGGCCATGCTGGCACACAGCAATGCAAGATGGTGATGTCACCGATGCAGCAAGTTGCGCGCATTATACTAGTCAAAGCGCACCACGCCGTGTTTGAAATTTTTTGGGAGAAGGCTCCTAGCATTATCCCATTCCAATTCCAGCCAGAGCTGCGTGTATATATACCCCCCTCCCCTCCCCACGGCCCTGGCAAAGGTCGTGAAAGAAAGGAAAGCAAGAGGAGGAGCTGAGGAAGAATATATCCATCCACACACCACATACACACATACCTCCAGAAATCTCATCGGAGTTGCAAGCATAAATCTCCTCGGAGTTGCCAGCATGGGCGGGTTCAGCGGCGCTACAGGTCTCGCGGTGTACCGCGAAGAAGACGATGAGGAGCTGTTCGAGACATCGTCTTCGATCTCCGGCGACTCCGACGACGAGGAGGACCAGTTCTCCGATGGGGAGGGCGCCGGAGCTCTGGAGCACCTGTTTACGCAGCAATCGCAGCAGCCGGTGCGGAGATTGAATTCTGACAGCCTCTACGATCTGTCGTCTATGATGGCACAGCTCCCTGTCAAGTAAGTCATCCGACTTCTCTTTCTTTTTACATACAGACATCAAATTGAGAGAAAGGGGGGCAAAAATTCTCAACTCGTGTGTTGTCCTCTCTCTGCAGGAAAGGGCTATCCAAATACTATGACGGCAAGTCTCAATCGTTCGCGTGTATGTCTGAGGTGAGGTGCCTGGAAGATCTGCGCAAGAAAGAGACACCCTACAAGAAGATGAAGGCATCCAGGAGTTATGTGGCATTAGACGCAGAGCAGGACTGTCATGCCCGGTCCTAACAGCAGGCCACCCGCAAGTTCTTGCGCAAACCTGGTGGCCCGGAACCGATAGAAACCGTACGATCAAATAGTCATTGTCTAGCGGGTACAGACTAGAACACGATGAATGAACCTAGAACATAAACTACGAGATTTAGATGGAGAAGAAGGAAGAGGAGTAGTGCTCTGACCGTCGGAGGGTTTGATAGAGCTGCTAGAGCCGGCCATCACGTCGGTGATGTTGCCGGAGGGCATCGGGTGATGTAGCGGTAGTAGGTATGGTCCAATGACGGTGACGATCATGTGATGGTGCTTTCTGTTACTGGCTGCGCACTGTCTCTGTCTCTATATCGGTGTTAGGATTTTGTTGATAGGAACTGTAGCTTAGTTAACCTTTTGTGAAGAGAGTCGTCGGCCTCTACCTCTCTGGTTTTGTTCATTTCTTTTATAATCTGTCTTTTTTAGCTTGTTTTTTCAGTCGGAACAATATTTTTCTCTCATAACAAATCAGTCAGGACAGTGTTTCGGTTTGATTTTTCAGCGAAGCGAACGGGACCTCTTTATAGCGCAGTGTGACGGGGACCTACTAACCATGTAGGGTTGGGCGTCCTCTAATCAGGGCGCGAGGTCAAGACCCAACTCGATCGTTGGGCTGAGCTGGAGAGATCACCACTAACAATCTTTCGTTTGATCTCATCTTATTACTTAAACTTAATTTACTTACTTTATCTTTTTCTCAATCCATCACAGATCAGTGTATAGAGCGTGCCTCATTGTCACGATCAGTTGTCATTAGATTAAACAGCTACAATACACTTCTATGTTTTGAAACAGATTCTCAACTAGGCCCTTATTGTTCAGGAATCACAGGCTTTCCCTTAAACCCATACCGACTAAGTGTTTTCTGAACACGCTGAGGTGATAAGCCTTTTGTGAGCGGATCCACGAGCATCTTTTCTGTTCTTATATGCTCAAGACTAATTATATGATCCCGGACTTAATCTTTCACAACATAATACTTTATGTCAATGTGTTTGGCAGCACCACTTGACTTATTGTTCTGAGCATAACATATTGCTGGATTATTATTGCAGTATAACTTGAGTGGTTTGTGTATGTCGTCTACCAATTTTAACCCGAGCATGAATTTCTTCAGCGAATTCACCTACCCTGTGGCCTCATAACATGCTACAAACTCGGCATAGATTGTAGATGATGTAGTGATGGTTTGTTTTGAGCTTTTCCACGATATAGCTCCTACGAGAGAATATATATCCTGACGTGAATTTTCTGTCATCTCCCGCATAATCAAAATATGTATACCCCTCTATGTTCAGGGAATTAGATCTTCTATACGTTAGCATGAGACCCTTCGTACCTTGCAGATAATGTAAAACTTTCTTTACTAATTTCCAGTATTCTATTCCTGAATTACTCTGATATCTTTAAAGTAACCCGGTAACAAATACTAAATCAGGGCGAGTACACACTTGAGCATACTGTAAACTTCCGACAACTGAATTATATGGAACCGCTTTCATTTGATCGATCTCATATTGGTTACTTCCGACAACTGAATTATATGGAACCGCTTTCATTTGATCGATCTCATATTGGTTCCTAGGACATTAAATTCTCCATATCTGTAGCCCTTGCCTATGGGAGCTGATGAAGACTTGCAATTTTGTATACTGTATTTCTTTAGAACTTTTTCTAAGTACGACTTTTGTGATAATCCTAAAACCTCATTTTCTCTATCTCGGTGAATCTCTATTCCTAGGACGAATAAAGCTTCACCTAGATCTTTCATATCAAACTTCGAGGACAAGAACTTCTTTGTTTCTAGTAGTAGATTAACATCACAGCTAGCGAGCAAGATGTCATCCACATACAAGACAAGAAAAATTTATTTTTCATTCTTGAACTTTGCATAAACGTAATTGTCCTCTATATTTTCTTGAAACACAAACTTTCTTATTGTACTATCAAACTTCAAATACCACTGTCTTGAAGTTTGTTTTAATCCATAAATGGATTTTTTCCGGCGACATCCCATACGTTCTTTTCCTTCCACAATAAAATCTTTCGGTTGTGCCATATAAATATTTTTCTCCAGATCCCCATTTAGAAATGCCGTCTTTACATCCATCTAATGTAATTCTAAATCGTAATGTGCTACAAGCGTCATTATGATTCTAAAAGAATCCTTACATGAGACTGAAGAAAATGTCTCATTGTAGTCTATGCCTTCTCTTTGCATGAAACCTTTCATCATAAATCATGCTTTAAACCTTTCTATGTTCTCTATAGAGTCATGTTTAGTTTTGTAGACCTATTTACAATCTACTGTCCTGGCTCCTTTATGAATTGTTTCTAAGTTCCAAACACAGTTGGTTTTTATTGATTTCATTTCATCTTCTAGGGCTTCAAGCCACTTGGATGAGTAAGCGCTTCTCATGGCTTCTTCAAATGAGGTAGGATCACCCTCTATTTGAAATTCCTCACATTCATAAACTTCAGTCATCAGGAATGGTTGATCTCCTGACTCTTTGAGACCTTCTAAGGGCCTCGTTAGATGACGCTTGTTCTATATGAGGCTGTTGTTGCTCTCCCTCATGTGTGACAACGGGTTCTAGGGGATCCTGAAGGATAGGTTCCTCATGTTTATTCATTGTTGCCACAGGAGAACTAACAATAGGTGTTGTTACTATTGTGTCTTGTACTGTTGGTACAACAACAATAGATAGCGTGAAGAATGGCTCCTAAACCATAGGAGTGGGTATGTATATCCGCTTCTCTTCAAAACTAATTTCTTGCGATACCATGCCCCCCTGATCATATCATCCTCTAAGAAGACATCATGTATTGTTACTACAAACTTCGTTTGTCTATCAGGACAATAGAAACGATAACCTTTTGACTTTTTCTGGATAGCCAATGAAATAGCAACTGACTGTCTTGGAGTCTAGCTTCTCTATGTTTGGGTTAAAAAGTTTTGCCTTAGCTGGACAACCCCACACACGTAAATAGTTAAGTGATGGTTCCTTTTCTATCCACAACTCATACAGTGTTTTGGGCACCGCCTTGCTTGGCACTCGATTAAGTATATGAAAGACGGTTTTTAACGTCTCTATCCATAAACTTATCGGTAGGGTAGAGTAACTTATCATGCTTCTCACCATATCTATTAAGGTACGGTTGCGTCTTTCAGCTACTCCATTCTACTGAGGCTCGCCCGGTGTAGAATACTAGGCTACTATGCTATTTTCCTATAAGAACCTCGCAAAGGGTCCAGGAACTTGGCCATATGGGGTGTGTCGACCGTAGTACTCTCCCCCACAGTCAGACCTTACTACCTTAATCTTTAAGTTATGCTGATTTTCTACTTCAGCCTTAAATATCTTAAATTTATCCGATGCTTTCGATCTTTCTTTAATTGGATAAATATAGCCAAAATAAGAATAATCATTTGTGAATGTTATAAATGAATCATAACCATCCATACTCTTCACAAAAAAAGGACCACAGATGTCTATGTGAACTATTTGTAAAATTTCTGCTCTTCGTTTGGCATCTTTTTTTATTTTCTTAACGTACTTTTCTTTTATGCAATCAATGCATTGCTCTAAATCTAAAAATTCTAAAGGTGGAAGAATTGATTTCTTAATCAATCGCTCTATTCTCCCACTCGAAATATGATATAAACGATAGTGCCATAATTTCGATGATACATCATGAACTCTCTTCCACTTATTACTTGCATTCATAGACGAAGAGGCATTCTCATTCTCAGTACTTACATCATTCACATTCTCAGAAAGTGATAATAAATAAAGCTTGTTTTGTTGGAAGGTAAGACCAACACACTTATTATTAATCACAATCCTACATTTGCCATTACCAAAATGACAATCATATCCATCATCATCTAATCTTGAAACACTTATTAAGTTTCTACGTAAAGAGGGTACATAAAGAATATCTGAAAGCTGCAGTCTAAAACCATCATCTAATTCTAGAGATAGATCTCCAATGGCTTCAATTTCAGCTTTAACCCCATTTGCAACTTTAATTCTTCTTTCTCCTCTTGGCAGGGTCCTCCTCGTACGAAATCCTTATAATGAATTTGCAACATGAACAGTTGCACCTGAATCAATCCACCAAGTAGATTTTGCATAACTTAAATACAAGGATTCATCTATGAATGTAATGAAATCCTCACCTCTCTTCAGAAGGCTCTTCAGAAAGTCTAGACAGTCCCTCTGGTAATGTCCATGCTTCTTGCACCATTTACATTGATCCTTCTCAACTTGAGCATTGTTGTTCTTCAGATGGTGGTCATTCTGAGAGGTTTTCCCTTGAGGTTTGGCATTCTTATTGAAATTCTTCTTTTTGTTGTCCTTCACAAGGTTAGCAGAGTCACCCTGTGAGCTTTTTAGCCTCTCCTCTTCTTGAACACACATTGCGATGAGCTTCCGTATATACCACTTATCGGGCTGCATGTTATAGTTAACAACAAAAGTTTCATATTCTTTTGGTAAGGAAGCAAAACCAAATGAATCAGGAACTCATCTTTGAGCCCCAAATCTATTGGCTTGAGCTTGGATGCCGTGTTGCTCATTGACGGTGTTTCGAGTAAACACCAACGAGTAAATTTATATTATTGCGCGTCTGACCCGGATGGTGTGCTGAAAAGACATAAAGTTTATACTGGCTCGGGCAGAATATCCCTACGTCCAGTTTGTGGTTACCGCTCATGTTATTTGCACTAAAAAGTTCATAGTAGGGGGTACAAACTGGCGAGAGAGGGACGGGACCCAAGTCTCTAATGGAAAGGTTGAATGGATGCAGAGCGCTTGGTTGATGCTCTGCTATGTGTGATGTGATGCGTGATGTCTTGAATCCATCCCCTTAGTGGGGTGCCCCGCCTTCCCTTTTATAGACCAAGGGGAAGCATGGATTACAGATGGGAGAAAGAATAAAAACCAGAGGCTAAGGAGGCCCTTTAAAGATGCCGGGTC